TGAAGAGAAATAGAAGATATAAAAATAAAATAAGTGGAACTTCTAGAGATGAAAAATATGTCTGAAGTGAAAAACAGTGCAGATGGAATTGACAGCAGATAAAATACTACTGAAGAAAAGGTCAGTGACATTGAAGCTCATGACAAAACTATCCAAAATGAAGCTGAGAGGGGAAAAACAAAAACAAAAATAAGAAGAGCACCTCGGTGCCCTGTATCACATGAACTAATATTAAGTGTAACTAGAACCCCAAAAGAAGAAGGGTAGGAGACAGGAAAAAATATTTGAATAATGGCCAAAATTCTTCCAAATTTGAAGAAATGTAATGACTCACATGCAAGATAATCATAAAGAATACCATAGAAAAAAAAGTTATAATAAAATTGTTTAAAACCAATGATAAAGAGAAAATATTAAAAGGAGTCAGAGTTAAAAAGACATTGCATACAGAGAAACAAAGGTAAATATATACTCTGCAAACCAGGAGACATAGTTCTTTAGAGTGCTGAAAGGAAAAAAATATCTGTCAACATAGAATTTTTTGCAAAATTCTCTTCAAAAACGAAGGTGAAATAAAGCCTTTTTCTGACTTGCCAAAGCTGAGAGAATGTGTTGCCAGCAACATCTGCACACCAAGAAATGTTTGAGGAAGCCCTTCAAACAAAAAAAAATAATACTAAATGGAAATTTGGATCGATACAAAAGGGATGAATATGTGTGTAAAAATAAAAGATTTATCCTCATTTCAGAATTTCTTCAAAATATCACTTATCAAAGCAAAAATAATGTATTGTATGGCCTATAACACATAGAAATCCTATATAATAAAAGCCTAATATGCTAAGTGTCCGGTTGTACGGTTATCCCTTCAACCAATCAAAGCATAATATGCGATTGTCAAGGGCGGGGGGAAAAAAAAGAAAGAAAAAAAAAGAAAAAAAGGGACACATATGTAATACCCTTTGTAATACTGTAAGCAATAAAAAAATAAAAAATAAAACAAATTAAAAAAAAGCATAATATGCTAATGATATGCTAAGGCTGCTCAACCACTCGCTATGATGACCAGTCGCTATGACATGCACTGACCACCAGGGGGCAGATGCTCTGACCGGTAGGTTAGCTTGTTGCTAGGGTCTGGCCGATTGGGCCTGAGCAAGATGGGCCAGACATGCCTTGGAGTCCTCCTGCAGTCCCTCCTTGGCTGGCCAACCTCCCGCGTCCCTCCCTGGCCTCGATTGTGCACGGATGGGGTCCCTCAGCCTGGCCAATCCAGGACCTCTGCGGGAGGCACATTGACTGTCAGGTAGTTCCATCTATATAATAAAAGCCTAAGAGACTGTTATGGCGGAATGACCAGAACAACCAGTCACTATGATGCACACTGACAAGCAGGGGGCAGACACTCAATGCAGGAACTGCCCCTTCGTGGTCAGGAGCGCCGCTCAGCCAGAAGCCAGGCTCACAACTGTGGCAGTGGTGGCGGGAGCCTCTCTTGCCTCCGCGGCAGCACTAAGGAGCAGTGAGCCAAGTGGTAAGGAGTGAGCAGGCAGGCAGTAAGGAGTGAGGAGTCCCGGACTGCGAGATGGACATCCCCTGAGGGGCCCCGTGCTGCGAGAGGGCACAGATTGGGCTGAGGGAACCTCTCCCCCCCCCCCCATGCACAATTTCATGTACCAGGCCTCTAGTAAAATAAATGCTACTACAAAGCAAGGGGAATGGAAGTATATTGTTGTAGCGTCCACTACACTATACCTAAAATGGCATGAAATTATTTGAAAATTAACTGTGATAAGTTAAAGGTGTATATTGTAAACCATAGTACAGGGTGCAGCAAACCAGTAAGCCAAATCCTGCTCACTGCTTATTTTTGTAGAAAAAGTTTATTGGGCCCTGGTTGGTTTGGCTCAGTGGATAGAGCGTCAGCCTGCGGACTGAAGGGCCCCAGGTTCGATTCCGGTCAAGGGCATGTACCTTGGTTGCAGGCATATCCCTGGTAGGGGGTGTGCAGGAGGCAGCTGGTCAATATTTCTCTCTCATCGATGTTTCTAACTATCCCTCTCCCATCCTCTCTGTAAAAAAATCAGTAAAATATATTTTTTAAAAAAGAAAAAGTTTATTGGAACACAGCCATACCCATTCATTTATGTGTTGCCTATGGCTGCTTTTGCACCATAGTGCAGAGTCTGTAGTTGGAACAAAGATCTTATGGCCCACAAAGCCCAAAATATTTATTATCTATCTCTTTACAGAAAAAGTTTTCCAATATTTGCTGTAGAGTAACTCCCCTAAAAACATGAGAAGGTATAGTTAATAAGCCATTAGTAGAGATTAAACATAATCATAAAAAATACTCAATTAACCCCTGGTCAATGTGGCTCGGTTGAAGCATCATCCCATACACCAAAAGATGGGGGGTTTGATTCCCGGTCAGGGTGCTATTGGGTGATGGACTGATCTATGTTTCTCTCTCACATTGATGTTTTTCTCTCTCTTCCTTTCTCTCTCTCTCCCCCTCCCTCCCTTCTTTCCTTTCTCTCTTAGATCAATTTTTAAAAAAACTCTCAGTTAAATCTAAAATATGGATGGCAAGAATATAGGAAAAGTAGAAGAACAGTTGGGTCAAGAAATTAAGTAGCAAGATGGTGGGTGGACTTTTATCCAACTATACTTATAATTTATAAAATGCAAATAATATACACACTTTAATTGAAAGGCAGAGATGGTCAGATTGGATAAAATAGCTAGACCTAAGTATATCCTCTGTAAGGGAAACCCACTTTATTTTTTCAAATATTTTTATTGATATATTTTAAAGACAGGAAGTGAAAGGGAGAGGGATCTCCCTACTGGGGATCAAGCCCATAACCTGGGCATGTGCCCTGACCAGGAATCGAACCTGCAGCCTTTCAGTGCATGGGATGAGCCACACTGGCCAGGGCGGAAACCCACATTAAGTATGAAGACATGGATAGGTTAAAAGTAAAAGGATGATAAAATGTATGCCACAATCAATAGGTGAATGGATAAATAAATTATAGTGTGTCCATACAGTTAAATACTATCAGCAATAAAAATGAATGAACTACTAATGCATACAGCAACATGAATATCAAAACATGCTGAGAAAAAGAAGCCAGGTTTTAAAAGTGTGTATATAATATATGACTCTAGTGTTATGAAACTCTAGAAAAATATGGTGACAGAAATCAAAACTGGTTGCCCAGAGATGAACTGAGATGGGGCTCAAGGGAATTTTTATTATTGTGTCAAAACTCATCAAACATTCATTTAAAATACGTGTATTTTTTATTTATTTATAAGCTATGCCTTAATAAAGGTTGCTTTAAAATTTAAGTCCTGAAAGAATTTAGAATGAGGCTTTTGTATACATTGTAGACCTTATAAATTACTAGATAGGTAAGAAAATAAGGTGTAAATGACTATGGAAACTTTGATGCATTTGGGATCTCCAGAACTTTAATCTACATACATTTCCTCTCAACTCATAAATTTCAAGGGATATGAATCCTTAGAAACATTATAGAATGTACCTTTTGATTCTTAAAAAAAGAAGCAAATGAGACAATGATATCACTATGTATCAATCAGTGTGCTGTTTTAATTGGTTTATTTTATTTACTAGAGGCCCGGTGCACATAATTTGTGCACTCAGGGGATGGGGGGGGTGGTCCCCTCAGCCCAGCCTGCACCCTCTCGCAGTCCAGGAGCCCTCGGGGGATGTCCGACTGATGGCTTAGGCCCGCTCCCCACGGGCCTAGACATCCTTAGCGCTGCTACAGAGGCAGGAGAGGCTCCTGCCACTGCCTTTGCGCTCACCAGCCATGAACCCAGCTTCTGACTGAGCAGCGCTCCCCCTATGGAAACGCACTGACCACCAGGGGGCAGCTCCTGCATTGAGTGTCTGCCCCATGGTGGTCAGTGTGCATCATAGCGACTGGTCGTTCCACCATTCGGTCGATTTGCATATTAGCCTTTTATTATATAGGATTCCTTATAACAACTCTATCAGTTAGGGATTAAACCCAGTTTACATATGAAAAAGTGAGGCTCAAAGAAGTTATATAATATGTCCAAAGTTAACAGCCAAAATTCCAGCCCAGATTTGACTCTGAAACCTGTTTTCCTTCCTTGGTGCTAACTTATCTTTAAATACTTGGTTGCATATATATACTGGTTCAAAATTAATTTATTTTTAAAAATTCATTTGAAAATTACTTTGAGTTATTTTGACATTTGTTTTAATGACAGGCTCTGCAAATCAAGAGTAGTGAGGAAAAAGATAAGGAAATAAGGAATTCTGTGCAATACTAATGTAGAAAATCCTTCCAGTTGTAAAACTTATAATAATATCTTCTTTATTAAATTTTTGTTAGAAAATGCCAAATAGTTCATCTTTGGCTTCTCACTAACCTCAGGAAGATGTTCAGGAGAATATAAAAGAAACTGTTTTTTATTATTTCATAATATGTCCATGTTGTATAAGAGAATGATTACTTATCAAGTACCTTGGATATAATATTGTACTATAAATATGGGTTGTATCCTTGAGCAAGAATCTCCCTTATTGGTGTACTTTAAAATATTTTTAATTCGCCAGGGCTTCTTGAAAGCTCTGGCTCCCAAGAGCCATCTCCTACAGGTTATGGAGTCAGCTAGCAATCTCTGACTACTTCATAATATCTTAATAAACGGAACCAGGTAAAGTTCTTCAGCAATACCAAGAACTTTACCTCAAATTCCTGAGAAAGCTTTTCCTTGATCCACTTAGAAGATAATCCTTTGCATGTTTCTATTTTTCTGAAAAGTGAGTTGTGTGATTCTAATTCCCAGAATAACTGTCAACTAAAGCTAAAGGACATATTCTTAAACCTTTGAAAAGGTTTTAAACCACACTGATAATAACAGATCCCATATAAGAATATAGCTGTAACATAATGAATCTAACTTTCATATGATTGGGGGTCTTTTTCATTCAGATGTGACAGTGGTGTATCAAAATGGGTTGCCTGTGATATCTGTGAGGCTACCATCCCGGCGTGAACGCTGCCAATTCACACTCAAACCTATCTCAGACTCTGTTGGTGTGTTTTTACGACAACTACAAGAAGAGGATCGGGGAATTGACCGAGTTGCAATCTACTCACCAGGTACAATCACCTTCGTTATTAATTCCCACCCAACCATCTCCCCCCCCCCCCCCCCCCCCGCCACACACACACACAGGTTTCTGCAAAAGAATCTCTTACTCTTAACTTTCTTTGCTTAGCAAATGTCAGCAGGAGAGAAAGTGGTTCTCAGAATATAACTATTCAGTTTTAACCAATATATATACACAGGAAGTCTCATTCAAAAGCACCTCACATATAATGCTGTGGGCACTGTATATTATTAAGACCTTTCATCATTGCCTTAGGCATAGAATAAATGTTTCCAGTGGTTGAGTCCTCATCTCTGAAGATATGAAATATTAGGACTTCTTTTTAGATTTTCTTATGTCTTTCACATAAAGACTTACCAAAATAAAAACATGTATACTTGAAAAGAATATAAAATAAGGCACCAAAAATTCCCATTTGACATGACACCCATTTTACTTATTTATTTTTAAGTGCTTTACATATTTTCCTAATTTTTACTTTAAAACATTTTAAATCCACATTAGTATAATAAGTACCCACTTAGCCTTCACTTGAATTCACCAGTTATTAACAATTTGCCACATTTCTATGCTATAAATATTTTAGTTATACTTAATACTCAATTCATGTAGTAGTATAACTAGTAGACCAGCTTGGTGTATTTGACTAGCCCTAGCATTCATCCTCAATGAATTATTGGCATCTAATCAGTGACCACACTGAAAAGTACCACATAATGGAAAATGTTGTTTTTTTACTCACCCACCTTCCATCATAGACAAATATAAGACGGCCGTGCAGCTCTCCCAGTGACCCTAGATTTCCAACTGACACCTATAGATCTATATAATTATTTCACTCTCATAAAATTTTCCCAGAAAAATATGTTGTTAAATCTTCACAGGCTTGAGGCCATGAAAACAAAAAGTCTCAGATAATAGTATAAGCTTTGTTTAGCATAGACTTAGGGATGAGGCAAAAAGTTAACTGAAATTAAGAGAGACATCATTCTTAAAATCTATTTTGAGGATTACTTTTTCATGACCATTCTTAAGTAATTATGGACAGATGACAAGTTTACATTTTCACATTAAACTTTTTTCACAGATGGTGTTCGAGTTGCTGCCTCAACAGGGATAGACCTCCTTCTCCTTGATGACTTTAAGCTGGTCATTAATGACTTAACATATCATGTCCGACCACCAAAGAGAGGTAAAAAGTAACCTTGATAAGGTCAGAGGAATGAGGGAAGGGCTTTTGAAAGAACTTAACTTTCTCCTGGATAACCTTGAGAAAATGCAGTATTCCAAGAACACTGAAAGGTTTACATGCAGACTCTGTTTCAGTTGAAGAACTCTTTGAGCACCTGGCACTTGGCCAGTACATTGACTAAAACTTAAATTCTACCTAAACACCAGAAAGCTTATCTGATATTGCCACTGTTTCACATAAATGAATGTTCTACATAACTTAAGCTCCTTCCCTCCATACAGGCTAAAAGCCATATTATTTTAACAACATTATAGAGGGGATCTTTTAAAAATAAAATAAATTATGGACTTCCCTGTGCTCTTAAACATTTTTATTGAGGATTAATCCTTTTTTTTTTTTTATCGTTCAAAGTCCCGGATCGGAGAGGGTGCAGGCTGGGCTGAGGGGACCTTCCCTGCCCCCCACCCCCCCGTGCACGAATTTTGTGCATCTGGCCTCTAGTTATGGATTAAAAGACTTAGTATAGGAATGAAACCTTGTACAGTTGTATATGAAGCTGAAGAAGTAAGAGTTTGAAAAGGGAGCTTGGAAGATGGGAGAATAGTCACCAATTTTTAAGCAATGACACAGATGGACAAAGCTTGCCAAAGAACCTGGAAATTCAGATGCATTCAACCATTAGGATAAGGAGGATTAGCAAAAGAGAGCTGATAGAGAAATCCCTAGGGACGCTGCCACCTCACTGTGAAATTCTAGACTAGTTACCACTTTCTAGAGTGCAGTTTCCTCTTCTGGTAACAGGAAAGTGTAAAGCTATATGCAAATGTGAGCTGCAACTTTAATGAAAGAAGACCCTGTTGACATAGATGACTTCTAGAGTTCAAAGTGTGCAAGACTCGCCCTAGCTGGTTTGGCTTGGTGGATAGAGCGTCAGCCTGCGAACTGGAGGGTCCCAGGTTCGATTCCGGTCAAGGGCATGTACCTTGGTTGCGGGCACATCCCCAGTAGGGGGTGTGCAGGAGGCAGCTAGCTGATCGATGTTTCTCTCTCATTGATGTTTCTAACACTCTATATCTCTCTCCCTTCCTCTCTGTAAAAAATCAATAAAATATATTACATATATATATATTAAAAAAAAACAAAGTGTGCAAGACTCTGTGCTCATCCCATTTTACTATTTCAGCTCTTCTCTAATCCAAATTGCTACCCTTATTTGAATTTTTATTAATTGACTTTCTGTGATAACTGTACTAAAGGACATTTGAAGAGTATTTCATAGATAACAGTATGGTAGTTACCAGAGAGAAGGGGGTGGGGAGGTAGTAAAGGATAAAGGGGCCAAATATATGGTGATGGAAGATTATTTGACTTTGGATCATGTGTCACAGAAATGAATACTTGAAACTTATATGATCCTATGAACCAGTGTCACCCTGATAAATTTAATAAACATACTTTTTTAAATATATAGCTAATTCTGATTGTAGTTTATTTAGAAAAGGGATGAACTTAACAAAATGTCACAATAAAGCTAATATTCTAAAACAAAAGCTTTATTTGTAGTGCTTTAAAAAATGGCAGCTAAAATCAGCTGGATTTTTTATTAGGTTCTCACAACATAATTTTTAGATTTCTGGAAACACATCCTACTCACAGAAGAGGATAATGAATCAAAGAATTTAATCTTTTACCCTTTCAATCATTCTTATAACTTCATCCCCTTTAGAGCATGATATTGAGGTCCATACAGCTATTCTGTGTCTTTTCCCAACAGGAATAAATAAAAGTTGTATGCTAGGGGGAAGATGTATGGGAGCTAAGATTATTAGAATAATGATATTTTTATTTATACCTTTGTTTGTGCAAATTTGAAATACTTTAGTTTTTCTTCAGATAATACTAAAGGGGGAAAAATCATCAATTAAAATGGCAAGGCCATAGATAGATAAATTATAGATCAGCATTTTAATAAGCATGATAAGATTGATTCTAAACTTCTCTTCTTGTTTTTAACATACTGTCTTCATTTTTTATTTTTATCTAATGAAGATTATTATTATTCTTTGTAGCCTCATATGTAGCATGTAAACTTCTAAAAATATAATGGTGAACGTTGGTTTCAAAATTTTCAAGTTGCCCAAATATGAATATACTTTCTATGATTTGTAGATACCTCCTTTTTTAAAAAAAGAAATATTGCTTTCCTTCAGTTTCACACTGAAAGTGAGATCCCTATTGTGGATGAATCTGCCTTGCTCTCGTTGTCTAATGGCCCCAGGAGTAGAACTCTTCACCTAAGGCATACATTTTTTAAAAAGTAACCTTTTCCTTCCAGACCTTTTAAGCCATGAAAATGCAGCAACGCTGAACGACGTAAAAACACTAGTCCAGCAGCTATACACTACACTGTGCATCGAGCAGCACCAGCTAAGCAAGGAGAGGGAGCTTATCGAAAGATTAGAGGATCTCAAAGAGCAACTGGCGCCCCTGGAAAAGGTACAAATTCAAACCTCAGACTTTTCTCTTCACTGATATTTTTTTCAAAGCATATATGTTTGCTTTTTTTACCTCCATTTTAAGTTTGCTTTTTTATGTAACTGAGCTGTGTCAATCAAACTAGTCCACTAGTTTTTGGGACTGAGCCATAAAAAAGTTCCAATCAAAGCTAAGAAAAGACTTAAAAAGAAATAGTTTGGAGCCTTGATAATGGACTTGAAGCTTTGAGGTCTGAGTGTCTGCCCTTACCCAGATTTACCACCTTTACAACAAAGATTGGAATAACTGCTGATGAAGAAAGGTTTTGAGGCCAAAACCGGTTTGGCTCAGTGGATAGAGCGTCGGCCTGCGGACTGAAGGGTCCTAGGTTCGGTTCCGGTCAGGGGCATGTACCTGGGTTGCGGGCACATCCCCAGTGGGGGTGTGCAGGAGGCGGCTGATCGATGTTTCTCTCTCATCGATGTTTTTGACTCTCTGTCTCTCTCCCTTCCTCTCTGTAAAAAATCAATAAAATATATTTAAAAAAAAAAAAAGAAAGAAAGAAAGGTTTTGAGGAGAGTGGGTAATGTTTTTAATCAAGTTAAGAAGTATATAGAATATTCTACAGCTGTTTAGCATGATTGTGTAGACCTAATATACTATAGAAAACTATTCATATGTTTTATGGAAAGGAAATTATAAAAGTAAGCATATTAGTACATACTGTGATCCAAGTTTTAAATGTATTATGCTCATAGTTATATATATTTATGTATTTTAAATACATACATATGTAGAGAAAGATATGCCAATAGAGCAGTAGGATTATGATTGATTTTTTACACTTTCTGAGTATTCTAGAATTAACATGTCATTCTTATTTTTTGATGATGCAAGTATTTTTATTTTAAGAAATTAGATTATAAGAGATTAACAAAGGGAACAAATACTCTTTATATTGTGCTTTTTCTGATTTCTTTAAAAATAACACATATCTCAAGGTTGTTCTCATTGAACTTAAGATCATTAGAAAGCTGTGATATAAGGGTTAATGGGAGAAAAGGGGAAACATGTAAATACTTTCAACAGTAAAGATTAAAAACAAGAAAGTTGTGTTAAACTAAATTTAAGAAACTGTTGTCAAGAGGGACGAGTTTTAAATTTGGTATTTTCAAAATGTAAAGCATTTTTAATGTGTCAACTATAATAAAGTAATTATCATCCTATACTGTATATTTATTGTCTACCAGGAATTATGGTAAGTACTTTACCTGTATTCTGTTAATCCTCAGAGCAACTCAATACTGAAGTTAATGGTGATTTGCAATGACGGCTTAAACTCTTCCAGTCTGAATCCAGAGTCCATGCTCTGACTCACTATGCTGGTCTGGCAACTCCCTAGTAAACGCTTTGAGTAAAAACTGATCATAGATTAAATTTTATATGTAACAGTGAGAGAACATTTGCATGCTTTCATTTCCCTCTTCTTAAAGAAAATAAACTTGTATTTGGATGAAGAACTGTTGAAACTAACTTATTCACTCCTGTAGTTCTCCATATTTTCAGCCACTTCTAGGATGAAACATTAAGCACAGTGTCCTAAATAAATATTACTCCTTTTAAATATGTTATTCAGTGAGAACTATTTAGGAAGACAAACTATATTTAATAGAACTGAGACTAACTTGTATCTTGATTATGAATCCTATTTATTTAGTGAACATAGAACAGTTTAAATAAGAGTTTTATATTGATTCTATGTCAAAGTGCTTTACAATTGATCGATCATGTGTGCCCCATAGGTACGAATTGAGATTAGCAGAAAAGCTGAGAAGAGGACCACTTTGGTGCTATGGGGTGGACTTGCTTACATGGCCACACAGTTTGGCATTTTGGCCCGGCTTACCTGGTGGGAATACTCCTGGGACATTATGGAGCCTGTGACCTATTTCATCACTTATGGAAGTGCCATGGCAATGTATGCATATTTTGTAATAACACGCCAGGTAAGAATTCTTCTCCAAGTAACTTTTTATGAGATAGTAATGAAGTTTTGGTTGTCAAAGTAGTTCTCTTTTCTCTCATATTCTTTCTTTTTTGTTTCTGTTTTTAAATACGTTTTCATTGATTTCAGAGAGGAAGGGAGAAGAGAGAGATAGAAACATCAATGATGAGAATCATTGATCAGCTGCCTCCTGCACACCCCCTTCTAAAGATTGAGCTCACAACCCGGGCATGTGCCCTGACAGGAATTAAACCGTGACCTCTTGGTTCATAGGTCAACGCTCAACCACTGAGCCATACCAGCTGGGATCTCATATTCTTTCTAAGGCCAGTTCCCTTTAAGTACTCATTTATCCTTTATACACACACACACACACACACACACACACACACACACACACGTAGGTGCACATGCATGCCAATTATGTATCAGGCACTATTTTATTTTTTAAAGGTTTTTTTTTTATTATATGTATACATCCTATATAATAAAAGCCTAATATGTTAAGTGTCCAACCATTCGACCAAGTCGCTATGACGTGCATTGACCACCAGGGGGCAGACGCTCCAACCAGTAGGTTAGCTTGCTGCTGGGGTTGGGCAGATCGAGACTGGGTGAGATGGGCCGGACACGCCCTGGAGCTCTCCCTGTGCTCCCTTCCCAGCCCCAATTATGCACCAGTGGGGTCCCTCAGCCTGGCCTGTGCCCTCTCACAATCCGGGACCCCTCAGGGGATGTTGAAGAGCTGGTTTCACCCTGATCCCCACAGGCTAGGCCGAGGGACCCCACCAGTGCATGAATCTGTGCACCGGGCCTCTAATGTATATACATAAAAGCCAAGCAACCGGAACAACCAGAATGATAGGAACAACCGGTCACTGTGACATGCACTGCAGCCCTCCACTGGTCCAATCGGGGGGCAGGGCCGGCTAGCTAACCTCCTGCGTTCCTTCCCCCCAGCCAGCTGGCTCCAATTGGCCCCCAATCAGGGTGGGCTGGCTGGACCCCACCTGTGCACGAATTTGTGCACTCGGCCTCTAGTCCTTTCTAATAATAGACAAACATGGTAATTAACTGTACCTTCACTACCATCGCCATTGGCTGATCAGCATGATATGCAAATTAACCTCCAACAAAGATGGCTAATTTGCATACTGCAGGCAGGTTGGGACACCGGGAGCCGCCATCCAGGCCCCTGTGTGTGACCCCAGGAGCTGCTGGAAAGCCAGGCCACAGGCAGGGAGGCCCCCCGGGACCCAGGGGCCGCCTTGCCTGCGGCCCGTGATCGTGATCGTGATCCAAAAGCCGGGATGCAGGCAAGGCGGCCCCCTGGGACCCAGGAGCCTGTCGGCAAGGTCTGCAGGTGAGGCAGCGATCAAGCTATGAGGGGGAGGGTGGGGGGCGGAAGGAGCTACAGGAGCAGCTCTGGCCGGAGACTTAAGACTCCGGTTGGACTGAGGAGCAAAGGCTGAAGGCTCCAGCCACAGCGAAGACTGTGTCCAGAGCGAAGATGGAAGGCGGTGGCCAGAGTGAAGGTCTGAGTCCCGGGTGCCAGAGGAAAACTGGTGCTGGCAGCCTGGAGAAAGAAGGCCTATTGCACGAATCTTTGTGCAACGGGCCTCTAGTATATATATATTTTGAGAGAGGGGGAGAAGGATAGAGAGATAGAAACATCATTGATTGGCTGCCTCCTACAAACCCCTACTGGGGATCGAGCCCATAACCCGGGCATGTGCCCTGACAGGAATTGAACCAGCGACCTCTTGGTTCATGAGTTGATGCTCAACCACTGAGCCACATCAGCTGGGCATCAGGCACTATTTTAGATGCTAAAGAGACAGATATAAGATATGGCTTCTGCCATCATGAAGCTCACAGACTATAAAAAGAGCCATATAAACCATTAAATTCGGAAAACTATATTACAGTAAGTTATAGAATAAGAGGACAAGTGAGAAGAGTGGCCAGTGGTAGGATAACTTGTTCAGCTAAGTTGGTTGACCTTTTATGTACTGTGTAATTAATTTAACGGTCAGATGGAGTAGTCCCAAGCTTTTGGTTTTTGTTAAATTCTTGGAATGAAGAATTGGTGATACCTAAGCAAACAGTTTAAACTAGCCCAGCCAGCATGGCTCAGTGGTTGAATGTCAACCTATGACGGTTCAATTCCTGGTTCGATTCTCAATCAGGGCACATGCCCAGGTTTCGGGCTCAATCCCCAGTGTGGGGCGTGCAGGAGGCAGTTGATCAATGATTTTCATTATTGATGTTTCTATCTCTTTTTCCCTCTCTGAAATCAATACAAAAAAAAATATTTTCAAATAGTTAAACTAAACTCTGGGCTACTTTTCAGTATGTTAAGCGAATACATGGGGTTTTTGTTACTGTTTTAACTTCATGGAAGAGAGGCAAAAATTAGATATCTAATCATTTTATACTCTTGGGCCTATTCTTTATCAACCAAGGCTCATTTATTACTTATCAGTAGCTATTAAAGACACTGTTTGAATTGGTGGAATTTTTTTCTTTGAAATAACAGAAGCTCATTTCATATTTTCTCTCATTAAATAACTGTACTTACTTCAAATTCAACCTGCAATACTTTATTTTCTTATGAAGCCAATGAACTAGTCATTAATTATTAATAACACTGTCTCCTTAATAAATAGCTAATTGTCACTCCTTAAGTAAGTATCAGTAGCTAGGACTAATTTTTGTTGCCAGTGATTTTTTTTTTGGAACTTGGAAATTTATAGTGTCACTTTAGAAAGTATGAGGGATTTTTTATCACTTATTATATATGTGATACCACCACAGTTCCAACCTCCCTTAATAAAAAAGAAACATTTGAAATAGCTGAGACATGTTTCTATTTCCTTAGGAAACAGAAGAAAGCTAAGAATTGTTTATCTTATATTTTTAATGGCTGCTATAAACTATTGGCATTTTTCTTCCGTTGTTGTTAGACCAGTGGTCATGGGCCTGTTTATGTGTAGAAAAATGAAAGCCCAAGTGTATTATTTAGCCTTTTTGTCCTCCTAAACTTGTCTGTAGAGAAGAGAGATGGTAAACCGTTCATGTCTGCCATTGTTCGCTCAGTGTCTCCAGCACCTAGTTCCACGTCTGGCTTATACTACTCACTCTTGAACAGAACTGAACAGCCAGAAAAATGTATCTAATCACAGCTCTGGACAGGGCTTGCATATGTCTATCTGTCTATGTGTGGGTCTTTCCCTCTCCCCTCACTCATCTTCCCTCTTCCCTCTTCTCTCTCTCTTCCCCTTAGATTCATACCCCTTTAATGGGTTCTTTTTATGTGTTTATTGATTGAAGTCCAGACCCCTTAGCCTGCTATTGCCTTTGCTGTTGCTTTCTGTCTTTTCCAAATGTCTATCAACCCCGCTGTGTATGTATTGTGTTCTAAAAAAATCAAATTATATTCTTTATTTCCCCGCAAATACCGAGTTGTTTAAACCCTCATTCCTTACTTCACACATTCTATCAACTGAAAAAGTTCCCTCTGTTGATCTCTACCTGTCATATTTCAAGATCTACTTAACTGCCTATCTTTCATGAACCTTTGACCTACAGCCAACTTCAAATTCTTCAGAATTCCTATAAGCACATGTGCCTCTCATTTCACTCATCCTGTGCTATCTTGTATTATAATTGCTCATGTACAATGTCTTTTCCCTCCTACTAGACTATGATATCTTTTGAGGCTTGGCATTTAGTTTTTTCCATTTTTATTGCCTAACACTGTGCTTATATCTTTAATAGCCTATCTGCCATACTAGTTAAATGCTATACTAGTACTTCTGTGATTCCAAAGCATTTTTGCTGCCCCCAAGTGACAAATTGCAAAATAGCAGTAGTAAATAATCTTGTCATTTGTGACTAAGAATACTTGACCAAATAAAATATAGATTCTCAAGTTAAATATCCATATTCACAGTTAACATCCATGAAGCAAAATGTTTGTTCAACATCATTTAAATTCTTCTAAACTCTTGTTACAATGAGATGCTGCATTTGTTAGCAACCTAAATGTATTCCAATAGTATATTAAGTTCACAAGAATCTTTATAAAATGACAAGCTCCTTTAATTCATAAAATCAAGTGGAATATTGAATTTTACTGACTAATATTTCAGTGAAACCCAAGTCTCCATTTCTGTTATGGAAAAAAGAAGCCTGACTACATAAGAATTGCCATTCTGAGCTACTTTAGCATGCATGTGGATTGCCCATCTAACACCCTGCATTTTCTTTCTTTATTTTGAAGCGAGAGGGAGAGGGAGAGGGGAAAGAGAAAGAAACATCAATTTGTTGTTCCACTTATTTATGCAGTCATTGGTAGATTCTTGTATATGCCCTACCTAGGAATTGAACCCACAATCTTAGCTTGTCAGGACAACACTCTAATCAACTGAACTACCCAGCCAGGGTGCCCATGCATTTTCATCAAAGGGGATATTGCCTCCAAGGGGAAGAAAATTGGTTCTTGAAGAGTAAAACATCTTAGATGTTTATAATATATCAATAAATATACAGTGTATTCGTGGTATTAAACCTTTTTGGGAATGAGGGTAATCAAGAAAAAAAATACCTAAAAAGGCTACTTAGGGGGACAATAGTGAAAAAAGAAAAGTAGCTTTTAATACCCTTGTCATCTTTATTTCAACAACTGTCATTTATATTCTACTCCAGCAATCACTTCAATGATTGTTCAGGACCTTCTTTCCTTGAACTGCCCTACTTATATACCAACTTCTGACCACAATTTATTTTCTTCCTAGCCCTTTAGTTCACTCACTTTCTCCTTTGACTTCATCCAGATCTTAGGCTTCTGATAGCTCTCACTCTTAATTTTTTACTATCACCTTCCTCATGTGTTGCTTTCTTTTCTATCAAACTTAGATCATATTGCCCTTCTCTTCTTAGTATTTTACAATCCTTACCCCATTGTCTTTCCACCATAGGTACTCTATAAATTCCTAA